TGCTCAAGAGTTTCCTACAAGAGTGACCCACAAGAGTGTCCCACAAGAGTGTCTCACAAGAGTGTACCTTAAGAGTGTCCTACAAGAGTATCCCACAAGAGTGTCCCACAAGAGTGTCCCAGAAGAGTGTCCCACAAGAGTGTCCTACAAGAGTGTCATTTGGACATATGTAGCTTTTCGAACGTGTTTGCATTCGGGTTCGCGGGCTGCATCCTTTTTCATGTCTAAGGTGGAGTGTCTTAAGGTGGAGTGTTTTTTTTGACTTTCAGGCTGATCTGGTCTTTTTGACCCGAAAAGCGCATCCCTTTCTTCCTCCCTCCCGGTCCAACGGTCTGGCTCCGCCGCCTGTGACGCTGCCGGCCATGGTGTCGCCCGAGGGGAAGGCAGCACCGTCCTCATGGAGCGGGGACGGTGAGCACACCGTTGAAACATGGCGAAGCCAAACGCCATGGGAAAGGGACATGGAATTCCTTGAAACATGGCGAAGCTCCGTGCTTTCATTCGTGTCCAAACGGTGAAGCAACGAAAAGAACGCGAATTAAACACGGTCAATCGAGGAAAAAACACGTAAGTTCACAAGGTGCGACAAATGTTCATTTTTCTGTCGGCTTGGGGTGATTTGGACTGAACTCAGATTTGTCCAGGAACCGGGGAAAAGATACAAGTCATGGGCCATGCCAGTTTCCGCAAAGCCACTGAGAGTCGATCACGTTCGCCAAGGTCAAGGGAAACCCAGTGGGACGACACTGAAACATTCCGAGTGACATGGCAACGCGTGTCCGCGAACCATCGTGCGCTGGTACGTTGGTCCATACGCTTGCACTTACCACCATGGCGGCTGTGATTGCCCAGGTTACGCTGGCTGCGCGGGTTCCGCAGGTGGTGCTGCTGCTCGGTGCAATTGGCGTCGTTGGTGTGACCAACTGGCGTTGTCGGTGTAAGCGATGCACTTGGTGTAACCGGTGTCATGAGTGCAACCAGTGTACAGCAAAATTATGGACACTGATTGCAAAAGCGCACCAAAAAGATTAGGAGCAGGAGTCTACACTGGTTGATCTATAACTATAACATTCAAAAGTACTACTAACTAGTACACCCTGGGATGCCAATTCAAGGACATTCCAGAGTAATCAATCAAAGCAGTTGATGCCAGAAGTTGGTGTAAACACTACTCCCAATGCCATGTTTAAAACCCACCATCTGCGCCAACTCTTTCGGGAGTTGTCTGTTACCATTTCACTCCCAACCAGCATGATATTGGTGCGAACACAACACGCTCGGACCCGTGCACAGCGATCAGAGCGCCAAGGCTCCGCATGCGAATCCTTTGGGATGATGGTCTTGAAGAGCCGCTTCACCTAGCAAGGAACGAACGTTCCGGGCGACGTGGAGAAAAAGAGCGGTGAAGAGGTCAAAGGCGAGACAAAAGGGTCGACCGATGAGACCGATGAGACCCGGCATGAGGCGAAAGCACCTTTCATCACGATTCTTCGGCTGGAAAGCTTCCGGTGTGTGTGCACATCCACGCACACTCTCCGCGCGAAACATGTAACATTCCTCGCGGCGGCGCCAAACGTGCAATGTGTCGCGTCTTGGGTTTTTTCGGGCACCTCGGGTGTGTCGGGCCGGGAGCGCTGGATGCTCATTTTCAGAACTCGATTGAGCAGCTGGCCATAGCAAAGCGCGAACCTGAGGGCTGGCCGTGGGAAAAGGGCTGGCCTGATCCGGCATGGGTTCTGATTGATTGGTGCAGCTGATTCGAATCTTGGTGCAGATTCCGGCCAAGAATCAGTGCAGTTCTGGTGGATTCGGGTGAATTTGTATGGGTGGATCCAAGAATGGCGTTAACCATTGGTATGAGAGACACGAGAGACACGAGTCACTAGACCCATTAGACACGAAAGACTCTGGTCTTTGACTTCTTCTAGCTACAAACCCGCACCCAGGACGACCAAATGGAGTCATACAAGCAACGTTCGAAGATGGTGCAACAAGTATCACGAGAGCATTCAGAAGTAAAAATCGCGAATTATCTTGTACGGGGCACCTACACGGCAATCGATCAATCTGGGAATCGTTTGGACCACTGAAGTGTTTGAGCCCATGGGCTGGTAACAAACCACCACGGGTCAATCTGGGAGTATTGGGAGCTTTGACCCATTTGGGATTCAGCAAATTCAAACTATGACTGAACATCTTGCCTGAGGCGGCCGAGACGGCTGAGACCAAAGGGATCCACTTGATGTGCCAAGTGTCAAGTCGAAGCCGACATGAATCCCATTCGCTTACACTTTTGGTTTAGAGTTTAGACAGTCGATCCCATCATTTGACATCCGAAACCAACCGCGAAACAGTCCGAGACCGTCCGCCGGTCCTGAGACGTCCAAGGAGCAAAGCCATGCGCAGGGGCTGGAAGCCACAGAGGAGGCCGCAAAGGGCCAGCGAAAAGCCCACACCCTCCCAGCTAAATGCCAAAGATCCTGGCAGATTGGAAGACTTAGAAGAGTCGCACCTGGAGGATTATGATGTTCTTACAAAAGCCAACCCTATAGGGATCGTTTCATGGAGTTGAAGTTCTTTCATGTTCCCCTCACGGACCAGGAGCTTCTTTAAACATTAGATCAGAATCACCTCCTACCCTTAGGGTGCTCCTGCGACCATCGGGGATTTGAGAGGCTCCCAGTAGATGCAAGCAGGGTGTTGCAGATCTTTCGAACATCAACAGTACCAGTCGTAGAAATGTGTAGGACAGTGCGAGCAGGTCCCAGCACATCTCCCATGGGAATGAATCAAATCTGCCAGAATCCTGGCACCCGACCGCTTTGCAGGGGTCGGACCCGACACCGAAACGCGAAACCCTTGCCATTGAAGGGCCTGGATTTGTGATTTCCGAGTAGATGGCACAATCCCGAATTGGTCGGTGGTGTCCTCATGGACCTCCATCTATGTCTAAGGACCTCTTCGGGGGAAACGTGCCATCGAATGGGGGAAACGTGCCATCGAACCTCTGAAACCACTGATTCATGTAGACACTCTTGATTCGGTTTCACCACCCCATACTGAGGAGGTTTTTCAATTGGGAGCAGCGTTTATTCATCAAGAGTCTACGTATGTCTTGGGCCTGAAACCACTGACCTCTCTGATGGGGGTCCGAAGCTCTGCTGCAGGCGCTTTCAGCACGTCCGCACGCTTCCTCCGCAGTTCGGCTCGGCCTGGGTAGATGAGCACTTCCAGGTATCCCAAGGACATCGATTGAGCCTTGCGGGTCCAATACCTGACAGCGAGGAGCAGGCAAATAGCACAGGGTAGAGTACAGCACGAACAGCAGGTGGCGCAGGAAAGGCCACATGAGAAGTGACACAACATGGAGCCACAATGTGGAAGCAACTGGAGAAGTCCACAGAAGCAGCGGTAGAAGAGAACAAGTAGATGAATGAAGAGTGACACGCCCTTTTGAAGTTTGGACTTTAGTGAGATGCACTTTACATCATTTTATCTGTTTTTTTGATTCCTTCCCACAAAACACAAGTATTTTAGAATTGCCTTTGTCCAAAACTGTTTCATGGCTGATGCCGAAAGTCCATCCCCAACAGCAAATTTATGGCTTATACAGTATACATTATGTTTATTCAAAAACTATATTTGTATATATGTATATATATATATATAACCTACTATATATATATATTAATATATAACCGCCTGCAAGTGGATGGAATTGGTGCATCTCCCAAGATTTCTATTACCTTCTGCAACTGACTCCTCTCAAGCCGGCATCTAGAATCTATTTTTGGGCTACATCCTTCGAAGACAAGCCCAACCAAGGTCTGGGGATTCACCCATAGTGAAAATCAAACCTCACCCATGCCCGCGAAAACCAGGCCAAACGGATGCCAAAACAGGTAGCTTCACCACCCTTCAGCCTCTCGTCGTCTTTTCTCTGTCTCCCAACGACCGCAGCCGTGCCCGGTCCAAGCGACACATCCCATTGCAACAGTTGAGAGATCGACATGGCGCGGAACGCCGGCGCTTTAGCGCTTGGCCGGCGCTTATGGCGCCAAGCCCGGTCAAAGGAAATGGCCGTGATGCGAAGACTCGTGGTGGAAGGAAATGTGGATGTTCTGAACCACTGCCCAAGAGTACGAAGAGTCTTGAGTTCGGGATGGGCAGAAGCCAACTCCTGAGCCGTCCTTGTTGTGCAGTCATGGCTTTACATGAAAAGTTGAATGATGTTGAATCGATGTCTTTCTGAAGAGGTTTGTAAACCCCAGGCGCGGGAAAGTGGCGTGTGAGATCTGCACAGGCTGAAGCTTCCTACTCGAAAAGAACCCCCAACCATCCCCAATCAATTTGTTGGACTTGATTGTTAGAGGTCAGGAGGTCCAGGTAAGGAAGACTTCCATACATTTTGTCCGTATATCTTTGGGTATGAAAGGTAAGTAATCTTAAGCGATCCATACCATTACACGCTTTGGATCACTTTGGGATCTTTAGGTGCCAACAATCTGCCAGCCTGAGCCAACCAACGACCGAGTGCCGGCACCAACCAATGACGACCGGTCCATCCCGGCACCGACCGAGCGGTCGTTTCATGTCGACGGACTGTAGCCGGAACAACTTCCCTCGTGGAAGATATGTTTACCAGGGGTCACAAAGGGGTGGTGTTCGGTCCCTAAGTGAGTGGATATGTTTCTTTGTTTTCCTTTTCTCTCTGGTGGCATGAAGCATGAAGAAAAGCTGTGATTTCTGCCTTTCAGGCGCATGCCTAAAATGGTGCGACACGAAAAAACCGGGGTGCTCACCAGTGCTCACCTTCCTTAAGATATCTGGGAGATCGTTGAAAGAACAGGACAACACTTCCCTGGTGCTGCACAGATCATTTTGTGGACATCCGAATCTGTGTCGATGCCAAATACATAAGATTTGCCCTTGCAAGGAGTGTAGCGCCGGGTCACCTACTAGGCACCCTTTTTGAGAACCGGAGTGGTGACGCGCGCGTCCTCATCCGGCTGATCCAAGTGTGACAGGGCCGCTAGGACCTCACGTGGCGCATTCGGGCGCTGTTGGCCCCCCCCTCCACGTGCGAAAACAAAGAGAAATGCGGAAATGGACTTGACCAGATTGAACAGTATAACTCCCCAAAATTCCCAACGAAGGCAAAGCAAAACAAAGACAGTATAATGGCTCTAAAGCAAATTACATAGAAAGGGGTTATTTTTCCTTGGAAGCTTGGAGGCGACCTCTTGAACAGAAGGGTTTCTGTCCGATGTCATATTTGAGAATGCAACCAACAGTGAGCAGAGATAGCTTGAACATTGAGCACAACCAAGCAAACCATGACTCGATGTGCTAGCCCGGGTAAGGAGAGTTGATGGCATCATGCGAGCTGCCAGGCGCCAAGGCTCCGCCAAGGCTCGTCCGCGAGTTCGGCCGTTTCTCAGACCGCGTCGAGACGAGCACGACGCGGTAGGCGAACGCCCATGGCAATTGCACAACCTCTGTGGCAACCGGTCATCTGACCACCCCAGCAGACTTCACAGTCGTCGCCTGCAGCCAGTGGGTAGGAAGTCGGCTGCACGGCTGCATGATTGCCTCGCCTTTTCGGGCATCTCGAACACGAGACAGAGCCGGGAGTCCCGGAGCACAGGAACATACAGGAGCCACGGGAGCAATCCTTCAAAGTCGGAAACACCTGCATAAGATCGCAACTGAGCGCGGAAAACGGGCACCACGCCATGTTGTAGCGCTGCAATCACAGAGTCCCAATCGCTAATAGAATCTCCACACAATATGAATCAGCATTCCGACCTTTGCTTTTGGACTTGACGGACATGGTCTCAGACTCCAACTTGGTTTGGTGTTCTCAACGAATGGACCAGCTGGGATGGTGGGATGATAGTAGAATTAGTAGAACTACAGGCCCTTAATCTCCCTCAAAATCTCTTGGTTCTCGTCATGCACCAGCACCAGCCACACCCACTCCTGTATTCCACCGTCTGTCAGGACTGACATTTGCCTAGAGGCTTCCCCGGGATGTGGCAGGGGCAGCAGCAGCAGCAGCAGCAGCAGCAGCAGCAGCAGCAGCAGCACTTGTATCGACACATCACACACCACTTGACACGAACCGGCGCCTTCTCTAAGTGCCGCTTCTCCTCCTCGTCTACCCGCTGGCTGCGCAGCTCTTCTTGGACCTGGTAGAGCGGCAAGATTTTGGATGGGTTGGGAGCGTGGAAGGTGACCCTGGTATCCATTTAGTTGCGACTTTATGATTAAATACCCTAGGGCCCTAGGGGATCTTGGATTCTTTGTATACAAATGTGAGTTTTGAAGCTGGATCACCTCTCAAGCGGAACACGTACAACCCAACAAGCCTCATACTGTCTCAAATTATTCATCGCATTTCATTGGCCTGAAGCCCAAGCGAATCAAACACCTTCCAGAAGAGCTAAAATCTTGCGACAAATGGTCCCCCAGCGGTCTGCCCGGGCAGGCTCAGCAACACCCATCTGCAAGCACGACAGTCGGACCCACATGCCAGGGGAGGCATGAATAATTTGAACTTTCAAATCGGTGGCTCAAGCCCGAAACGCAGCTTTTTCTACATCTGCGACTGGAGGTACTACAGTAAATGCCTAGGCTACGCAGCCGAGCTTAAGTTTTCCTTATAGCTTTCGGAACACTTACAAGTCCAGTGACGTTTTTGTGTGACAAGTGACAAATCCCAAGTGACAAATCCCTGGGCCTCCTTTATATAGATGGGATCGAACATAATGTCTGCCACCTTTGAAGAGGTGCATCTTTCCCCTCTCAATCCACTGAACAAAACACCTGCAATCTGAGCACGAAGAGATGTACACACAGTTCAAACGTCGGAAGAATCGGTAAATCCCTCCCGCGCGATGCCGCGGCGCCCATTTCATCCACCAGCCTGGCCCCCCCCTATCCATCGATGCCGTTCGCCTGCGTTTGGTAGAAGCTCTCAGTGCACTTGCCACTGTGTGCCTGCATTGACTCGCAGCCAAAGCCCCAACATGTCAGCGGGTATGTATGTGAAGGTTCTACTAATTTTACTACAACTACACCCCCGGTCAAAACTCTTGGCTCAATTCCCACACGGCGGCCCACGTAAGCACGGCTTTACTGAAATCATCTGTAATTGAGCCAGGTCTGATGGGTCTGTAGTCCCTAAACATTGGCTGGTTGGGTCTTGCATGTTCTTGCCTTCTTGCCACCGTTGGGTAGTCCCCAGTAGCTGCGTAGCTCTTCCTTCTCAGAGTGATGCTGGCCATGTGGGGATGGGTCCAAACGGAGCAGAACAACAAACTCCATGATGGATAGTGGTCCCCCAATAGATGGCACGGTTTCCAACACATTTTTATATAGACTCCCAAACAGAGACAGACAAATTAGAGAATCACCACTCAAACTGTATTTTTCAAACCGTTTCACTATCTATTTGGGGATCCCTATAGTGGTGATTCTACTTTTTTCTATATCTATTTGGAGGTCCCAACGAACGCGAAAGACTGACACCAGATCGGTTGGTGCCCCTGTTTCGGTGGCACGAGCGAGACCGCACACCCTCTCTGAGGGGAAGGGGGAAGGCACAACCTCTGGGTGAATGGATTGGTTGTGAATGTGTATGAATCTGTGAATCTGCATGCATCTTGAACATGGTGTTGTGAATGTTGTTCTTCGTAGTTGGACATCTCTGAAAGTACCTCTGTCTTACATAAAAATTCGAACAGCTCTGCGGCTCGCTGGGACATTCTGGGACCGGAGATGGCGGAGATGGCCGCGCGGAAGCATCCGGAAAACACACCGGCGACGAACACCAGGCCCGGCCTGATAGCAGCTCAAACTGCAATAGCCAGCTTGGCATCGAGGACATGTATAGCGTGCCTCCCGCGGGCTTCGCGGGCTGCGCAGTCCGGTCAGCGCGGTCCGGTCCGCGCGTTGTGACCTGGTCTGGTCACCCAACCGGTCGGGTCCAAAGCATCGGGCGAACCCTGGAGTCCAAACGGGATCAGGTATATAGGTGGGCCGCCAGGGGTGGGTGCCGGTCTAAGCACCGAACCGAAGGATCATTAGGGTTGGAGCCCTAGGGAATAATCTCCCTGGTGTATCAGTTGAACTTTGAGAATGCTCTGTCCATCGTGGACTTCCAAATGATTGGGTCAAGGACCTCGAATGTCACCATCCTCAGAGGTATATTTGGGAGGTGTGCTTCCTTCAGAATCAATTGTGTGAAGTGCGATGTTGAGTGGGCTACATCTGACAATATCTGGGATCATGTCACCTTGACACTCCATAGGATTGCCATATGCACCTACATGGGCGGTGGCTGACCTGGGGTCAAGTGTATATTCCAGAGAGAGATGGAGTGTTTGGGTTGCTTCCCGCGAACACCTCCCGAGAACCTCAGCTTCCAGCTCCGAACGCCTCGGCCCGAACGCACACGGTGCATACGCTGCTCGGCATGGCGAATCCAGGCGCACGAAGACCAAAAATGGAGAGAGGCACGGCCGGCACGGCTTTTTCTGGCAATCAAATCCTATCTGTGTTGGGTGACTAACTCGAACTAGGGTGGCTCACGGAATGGCTGTTGAATAGGCTCAGGTGTTCTAGGATGTTCTAGGCTGGTTCCTACTTAAATCCGGAGCAGCAAGCTTTTGGGAATCCTGATCCTGTACAACCTCCCCTCTGGCACTAGGAAAAGTCCTCAGATCAAACGTGGCATCACTGGTGTTTCTGAACTGATCGAAAACTTTCTGGCGAACGATCCATGGCACAAATAGACCGGGATTGCTTTGCTAGATGTTAGCCTTCCTTAAGCAAAATGTGCGTGGTGGAAGAGACCACGCGGGCCTCAGTTTGCAAAGGAGCATGACCGCACCACGCATGTTCAAGAGCCATTAAACTGGAACAGGCCCAAATGGTCTGGAACGAGCCATAGTCCACCGCTAAACCTTTGTCTTCAACGCCAGTGGTTGGGAACCCATCGGTGTTCTTCCAGAATCCTGGCTTTCGTTTCGATTCGATCCAGCAACCTGTACACTCTTTCAACTCGGACCCGGGTCGAACTAGCGATCCACACCCTCAGTGCGACGACCGACGAGCTTTTCTCTCTACAAGTCCTACGTGGGTCGTCGTGGGTCTCGCGTCGACGAAAGGGCGACCGCCCGTGTCGGTCCCCTTCGACCAAGTCTCACTCGGGAGTGGGGATCTTCACCAGCTTTTGGTCTAGAGTCTAGAGTGGAAAGAGTCTAGAGTGGAAAGAGAATGGTTTCCACGCAAGTCCCCCGGTGTGGCATCCCACCTTTAGCTTTCACCTGGCTGGACTACCCTCCACTACTATCCGGGATCTCCAGACAAGACACCCAGACAGGATGGTCCAGGTAGACAGGTTTATTCTGAAAGATGTCATGCATCCTCAGATCCTCATGCATGCATGCTACCCACCCTTTCGCAACCTTTTTCTTGCTCCGCCCAGCAGGATCTCTGTCGCCATGGGTCGTGGTTCTGGTGGGGGGATCGAAGGGGGGCCATGTAGAGGGCCAATATGACACGAGAAAATGAAAGGGACATGATAGACATGATTCATACCAGGACCATCCAAGGGGTCGCCAGGACCATCCAAGGGGTCACCAGGTCACCAGTGGACTACCCTCCACTACTATCCGGGATCTCCATTGGACACCCATTGGATGGTTCAGGTATATTCATGTACATTCTGTTTATATTCATTGCATGGCAGCTTTGGTATTCGATTCAGAACCCAAGACGGTTCAACCAACACCGTTTTGGTGTGACCTTCCCAAAACAACGACGAGCTTTTGCCATCCTGGGAGAGGTTTTTGCCCACCAGCGGGGGACAAATTTTGTTTTCTAAAAACACCTAAGGGTTCACTGAACTCACTGAGTCACTGGCGAACTCACTCGCTCACTTACAACCTTCGACATGTTTGTGTCCGTGAAAACAAACAGTTGTTCCAAGAAACAAAAAGACCACAGTGCCGATCGGATGAAGACGTCGAATCTGCAGGTTTGGTGTACACCTCCTGGGCAATGACTTCGTGTGCGGGTCCGACCCCCCCGTACCTTGTTCGAGCCACCCAATTGGCGCCTTTGTGCTGGTTGGTTAGTTGGTTCGAGCCAGTCTCGGCCAATTGGTGCCGTCATTCGGGCTGGAGTGTGTCTCCAAGCGCGCATCCTCCAACCTCGTTTCCCCAAACAAATGACACACTCAAAATGCGGCGTTACAGTCCGTATTTGGAACGCAAACTGCAAGACTTCTTTCCATTCAAAACGACTTAAACGCAAACGCTGGCGGCTTGCCTTTCAAAAACCTTCTGAGTTGCGATATAATTGCTTATAATTACTGAATTGAATTACTTGCAAACTTCGACGGCCCTTCAGCCATAGAGGGGTTGTAGTGTACTTACAGGGTCCGCTGTGAGTTTCGTATTTATCCCATCATCCCGTCTGACACCTCTATCCCGCTGTACGGCACCGGCTGCCAAGTCCGCCCACCCATTCTTTAGCACCCATTCTTTGGGCGCCGATGCGGCAACTCTGCCGCGTGTCTCCACGGTTCCCGACGTCAGTGAAGGTAGGTTGCAAAGTTCATGTGAAGTAACGCTGCTGGACTCTCACCAAGTTTTGAACAAGTTGACGAATTGGAGCGCTTTTTAGACCTTCCCTGGATGCAGAAGCCATTTTTGAGGCCCTTCAAGTGCAGGATATGCCACAAGGCACTCATCGAGTGGGGGATTCCGGGATCAACCAAAAACATCCAAAAACCGAATGAATGATCTTCTCTGAATTGAATTGAAAGAGATTACCATCTCCACAGGCATCATGCTTCTGCTCTTACCCAACTCACTTTGCCCGTGGATGTCGGCTGCCAGACCCTCACTTCGCTCACTTCCATCTGTCCTCGCAGGGGGAGCTAAAAGGGTTGGATGCCTGCTTGTGCTTGCATACCTATAGTGGATTAAGAGTAGATGGCACAAAGGGCCCCCCAAGTTGTGTGTATGGACCCCCATCTTTTCATGGGGTCTGTGCCATCTACTCTGAAACCACTGTGCATGTTGTGCATCTACTTTAACAAAACTCCTTGTTCTCATGTAAAAGTATGCGCAACCAGCTGAGCAGACCTTCAGACATACTCCTTTTGGGGTCAAGGGACAACACTCGTCCGCCCATTTTCAGGAAAGGCTGCTGCCGGGGAGACCCACAGCTCCCAGGTTGTGCTCGCAGGGAGGTAGAACCCACCTCCCCAGACAGAGCGCGCCTCCCCAAGAGGCATATGTTCGGTGCGGAAGAAACTGGCAGCTTCTCTATGACTCTATGAAGAAAGGTTGTGGGTCAAAAGCAGGATACCGACCGGTTGACCTACAGACATCACTTAAGCGATCACGTGTTGCACCCGGCCTCCAGGGGACTGACCCATCCCCGAATGGTCTGCGGCTGGGGCCTCTAGTGATGAATCCCAAGGTGGAGATCCTACCATCTGATCCTCTCTTGGATCCTCTCTTGGACCTTTGGTCACAGGTTGTAGGCACATGCACTGACAGCAACAGCGACCAACTGGGTAGTGATTTTGACGCTTCGAACAGCCGTATGGACGAACCAGCTGCCTAGATGCAATTCATCAATCAGCGGAATGGAAGTCCATCGGTTGGTAGGGGCACGCACAACTCATCCATCACACACTGCCATTCCTTCACAAGATCTGACAGGACAGAGAGCACGAACCTCTTTGAGACCTGTTAGCATGACTTAGCTTTTTGATGCATTTCCCCCAATCTTGGGGGAGATAGCAGCTTTTGCCAGTGAGCGCGGACCGCGGACCGTTTTGGACCGAGACAGCACGCGTCACGTTTTCCCGAAAATCCTCCGAGGATGACCCTCATGACGCCGGCGTCCTGCAAGGCTTTTCGCGAGGCCATAAAGGACACCACAGCCCAGATGGCCAAGACAATGCCCACCTAAGCAGGAAGCATCAGGAAGCCCAGCGGGAAGAAATCCTGGAGAAGCTCACCAGTTGCATCAGGAAATTCAGCAGAAACCTTGGTTTCTTGTGCTTTCTTTCTTTTTCCTTTAAACAAATACAAAACAACTGCCGATTCCAGGTGCTGCAGGATATCTTCCTTGATGCACACTTTGCCACTTCACCCCCCAAAACCAGTGCTTTACTGGACACCACAAACCAATCTTTGGGTCTTCTAGCGTTGCACTCAACTTGCACTCAACTTCAAAACCTCTGACCTGACTCTGACCCCTTCAGTTTCCCTGGAAAAGAGACATTACCCTTTTGCACTTGGGCATAGGGATAACACGCAAGTTGGCATGTTCGATATCACCACCAAACTATGTACTCCCCTCCTGGTGGAAGAACTTTCTATTCAAACTACTCTGCTTGGATGTATATATATATATATTATATTTATATTATATACACCAGGACCTTCCAACAGGTCATCACCTGCGACTTTTAAGTCTACAAAAGCCTCCATTTCGGAGACCTGTTGGAAGGTGCTGGGGACGGACGGGCGAGTCCTGGGCTCCCTGGCTGGGTGTTCCAGTCACGAGGGTGTCCCGTTGGTGTGCCCAAAGGTAGTAGGTGGTTTGAGTTTTTAGTTTTGGGTGTTTTAAAGGGTACTCAGTTTTGGGTGTGAATCATTGATCAATCCAAGTCATTGATCAATTCCCCGAAATCGGGCGACATGGACAACAAAACAGGTGGTGAACTCCACGTCCGATTCTTTCGCAACCAAACATTCCACCCGATGTTGAGCGGGGACAAGCCCCCCCCAAGTTCGATGACCTACCTGCAGGTCGATGATGTGACCTGCGTTTCCGGGGATTTCAGGGGGGGCTCACAGCTGCTGCTCCAAGCTTTCCGGACTGATCCATAGAGCAAGGGGTAGTTGAACCCAGGACCTCGGCCCAGTCGGACCCGCGAGACATGGACGAGCGACATGCATGGGCAATTTCTGGAGGAGATAACAGGAGAAACTCAGCATTGTTGTACTTATTATAAGTGTAGGTCTTTGGATGTCTTTGGTGTGTTTAGCTTTGATTCAGCACCTGGGCGTGTGACTAAAGGGCACTTTCCAACCAACTCCGTTTTCGCTTTCCCTTTTCTGCACGGCATAGCTGCAGGAGGACTTGCATCAGTGAGGCCAAAGAAAACGGCCATTGGATGTGGACGGCCACTGGGTAGTTGATGGGTGAGAAAGCTGGTTGGTGGTTCCAACTCACTTGAAAACATATTAGTCAGTGGGTTACCATCATCCCAAGTAAAGGTTGAACATCAAACGTCACCACATCGAGGCAGGGAAGGCAATCAACACCTTGCACAGCCGATCTCTCAGAGAACGAGGATGTTTTCTTATTTTCTGTGAAAGGAGAACGGAAAAAAAGCACATCAACTGACTTAACCATATCCATTGGGCGAGGTATGGCAAGGTATATGATCTAATGCAAAGATCTCCGAACAAAACAAACATGTTGTCGTGCAAAAGTCATCAG